GAACCTCATCAGGTTTTTTTTGGCCCAATCCTCTAATTTGTCTAGGTCCCTCTGTATCTGATCCCTACTCTCTAGTGTATCTACCACGCCTCCTAGTTTAGTGTCATCTGCAAACTTGCTGAGAGTGCAGTCCACACCATCCTCCAGATCATTAATAAAGATATTAAACAAAACCGGCCCCAGGACCGACCCTTGGGGCACTCCGCTTGAAACCGGTTGCCAACTAGACATGGAGCCATTGATCACTACCCGTTGAGCCCGACGATCCAGCCAGCTTTCTATCCACCTTACAGTCCATGCATCCAGCCCATACTTCTCCAGAGACTCTGCTGGAAAAAACCTCTTGCTGTGTCATTATTTAAAGAGGGTAAATGGGATTAACTACAGGCCAGTTACTCTGACATCAATCCTGAGCAAGATCAGGGAACAGCAGATATGGGACGCAGTCAGGAAAGAATTAAGGGATGGTAACATAAGTGATGTCCACCAGCATGGTTTTATGGAAAATACATCTCGCCAAACTAACATATATTTTTTATGAGATTACAAGTTTGGTTGATAAAGGTAACTGTGTTGAGATAATATAAATAAACTCTGTCTACACTGCAGCTGGAAGTGGGCTTCCCAGTGCGGATAGCTGGCTGAGCTAGCAGTGTGGCTGCTAGCCATCTGAGTACAAACCTGCCCGATCCCCTCTCTGTGTACTTGGATGGCTAGCCTGAGCTGCTGTCTGTGCATGAGCACAGCTAATGTGTGTCTGTGTCTCCACGCTGGGAAGCACTGCTGTGCAGACATACCTGACCTCCCACTGACTCCATACCACGCAACGTTCTTATTAAGCAATATAACATATATCAAATGGATTGAAAACGAGCTGACGGATATATCTCCAAAAGGAACTGTACCTGGGGAATCAGCATTGTGTTTCTAGTGGAATGCTCCTACAATCTATTCTTAGCCCAATGCTATTCAATACCTTCATCAATTATCTGCAAGAAAATACAATACCACTGCTGGTCACGTTGGCAGATGACACAGGTGGCCTGGTAAACAATGATGGGGACAGGAGTGTTATACAAACCAACCTAGATTGCTTGGGCTCATTTGAACATTGTGTGTTTCAACACAGCCACACAGAAGGTCATCCATCAGGAACAAAGAATGTAGGTCATACTTATAGAATGGGGGACTGTAGCAGAGGAAGGTCTGACATGATCCAGTGGCTGGAAGCTGAAACTAGACAAATTCAGACTGGAAATAAGGTGTAATTAGCCACTGGGACAATGTACCAGGGTTGTGGCCATTTTTAAATCAAGATTGGGTGGTTTTCTAAAAGCTCTAACTAGGAGTTATTTTGGGGAAGTTCTCTGTGTTCTACAGGAGGTCAGACGAGATGATCACAATGGTCCTGTCTGGCCTTGGAATGACACGGAAGAGGGCTGAGGGGTTAAGATGGAAACCAAGAGAACATGAGCTCCCAGTGTGATTCTGTGCTCAGAGGAACAGCACAATTTTGGGCTGTGTTGCCAGCACACAGAGCATTGACAAGACCAGTACTGGGACAGTGTGTCCAATTACTTCAAAAAGGATGTTTCAAAGAAGTCCCAGAAAAGAGCTACAGGAATGATTCAAGGTCTGGAAAACCTGCCTTAGACCCTTCCTCTCTCACAATCTTCTGCAGCCACAGGTGGATCTTCAGATGCAGGTGAATTCTCAGAAGTTTTTTCCAATTCCTGCCTGTGCTTTTGCTCAGCCTAGCACCCTCCCCTCTGCCCGAAAGTCAGCCTAGGACCCAGAGCGCGGCTGCTTCTCTCCCACCCCTTTCTGCCTCAACACCTTCCTGAGAGACAACAGGTGTCTCCCCTCTCTAAACCAGCTCCCCTGCTCCTGGGCTACCCCTCTCGCACTACGGTCACTGTGATGTCATCTCCTTCTGCAATGCCGTTCCTCTGGCTCTGGCTCTCAGCCCACACCCTGCTTCCTCTGCAGGGGTTTCCTCCATCCCCTCTAGGGCTGTTCTCCCATCTGGGATGCTAAAGAAGCTACCGTGCCTGAAGTCAGCCAGCGCCATCTGCTTGCCCTCAGAGTCTCCCTGGAGCAGGCTGGCTCTCCTTGTGCCATTCAAACCACAGCAGTTTCATGGCTTTGTCTGCCCCTGCCTGGCTGCTGTGTGAGCACTGTACCATGCTGCCCAGCACCTGATATTATCACGTAAAGGAGCGTCAGTAAAACTATCGATACAAAGGCGACGGGCGGGCTCAGTCTAGGGAAGCAATCCAGCTCCCTGTCCCGCCCTCCGAGCTGCACCGTTCAATGTCCCTTGGCGTACAGCTGGGAGCAGATAATGGACTCCAAGGCCAAAGCAACCCATGGCTGGCGGTGCTTTGTCAATACTGCTGAGGCAAGAATGAAGGCGAGCAGGTAGCTGCCGTGGTCGCTGGGAAGGGATTGCTCAGCCCCTGCAGGAGGCGGCAAATAGCCCGTCACACATTCAATCCTCCTCTTAGGCTCCCATGAAAGCGGAGAACAAGCCCCAGGTGGAGACCGAGCCTGGAGCCTCTCCTCGCAAAGGCAGACACGCATCCAACCGGCGTTCTTGTCTCCATTGCTGCCCTTGAGCCAACCTCTCCCCTCCCCCATCTCTCCTCTCCCTGCCGCAGAGTACCCTCCTTTCCCTGGCTTCCCCCCTTTCCCCCTTTCCCAGCTCCCTGTTGTATCTTTGTATCTACAGCTTCTGTTACCAACTGCTAATGAGGTACATCAAGGCTGCCAGACTAGGCTGAGCGTCAGCAAAAGAATTCAGAGCCTCTAATTACAGAGGAATTAGCGAGCAGGCAGTTACTGTTTAGCGCTAATGAATGGCTACATTAAGAGAGGCAACACACAGCCTGGGAAGTGTGAGCCCCGATAATAAGGGAGTGTCAAACAAGGGAAGCACAAGAGGAGGATCCAAGGCTCTGAAAGGAGGCAACTAAAAAAAACTCAATTCGCAATTTCATCCGCCTCGGCTGCTTGTTCTGCAGAGGTGGAAATGTTCAC